ACAGAGGTACAGTACGGGGGAGGGGGGAGGTAGGGGTTCTCTGGGGATGTATACCACACATGCCACACATGCCACACACACAGAGGTACAGTACGGGGGGGAGGGGGGAGGTAGTGGTTCTCTGGGGAAGTATACCACACATACCACACCTACCACACATACCACATTATGTCCCTATAACAGTGTATAGAATGTCCCTATAACTGTATATAATGTCCCTATAAATGTGTATATAATGTCCCTATAAATGTGTATGTAATGTCCCTATAAAAATGCATAAAATGTCCCTAAAACAGTGTATATAATGTCCCTATAACAGTGTATAATGTCCCTATAACTGTATATAATGTCCCTATAACTGTATATAATGTCCATATAACTGTATATAATGTCCCTATAACTGTATATAATGCCCCTATAACAGTGTATATAATGTCCCTATAACTGTATATAATGTCCCTATAACAGTGTATATAATGTCCCTATAACAGTGTATATAATGTCCCTATAACTGTATATAATGACCCTATAACTGTATATTATGTCCCTATAACAGTGTATATAATGTCCCTATAACTGTATAAAATGTCCCTATAACTGTATATAATGTCCCTATAACAGTGTATATAATGTCCCTATAACGGTATATAATGTCCCTATAACTGTATATAATGTCCCTATAACTGTGTATATAATGTCCCTATAACTGTGTATATAATGTCCCTATAACAGTGTATATAATGTCCCTATAACAGTGTATATAATGTCCCTATAACAGTGTATATTATGTCCCTATAAAAGTGTATATTATGTCCCTATTGTGATGCACAGATATGTAAAGGAGGTCACAACTGTGTTGTGTGACGTCACCGCTATATGACTCACCCTGCAACAGTTCTTCTTTACTGAATGACACCGTGTCTTCCAGGGTCAGATCTGAGGGAGAATGAGACAAACTGACCACGTGACACACTGTCCACATGACAAACTGACCACACTGTACATCTCACATAACCCTAACATTCACTGTAACCATTATCTCACATAACCCTAACAATCACTGTAACCATTATCTCACTCACATAACCCTAACATTCACTGTAACCATTATCTCACTCACATAACCCTAACATCCACTGTAACCATTATCTCACATAACCCTAACATTCACTGTAACCATTATCTCACATAACCCTAACATCCACTGTAACCATTATCTCACTCACATAACCCTAACAATCACTGTAACCATTATCTCACATAACCCTAACATTCACTGTAACCATTATCTCACTCACATAACCCTAACATTCACTGTAACCATTATCTCACATAACCCTAATTAACTTACGCAACCCTAACATTAATTCACAAAACGAGAATATTAACTCATACAATCCTGAAATTAACATATATACAACCGTAACATTAACTTACACATCCCTAAGATTAACATACACAATTTTAACATGAATATAAACAATCTTAACATTGACATACACATTCCTAATATTAACGTACACAGACAGACACACACACAGACAGACATACAGACAGACAGGCGAGTATTATTTAAGACAAGACCTGTGTCCGACGTTTTCGGCATGTTTAGGCAGTCAGCGATGTTCTCGTCCACTTCCGATAGTTGATTCTGGGGAAGAACACAAGAACATGAGAACACTAATTGTGTCCGTCCCCAAGGACAAACCATCAACCTCCCCTCC